GAGGAGGAGCAGGGTAGAAAGGATGCTCCACTGAGAGGAGGAGCAGGGTAGAAAGGATGCTTCACTGAGAGGAGGAACAGGGTAGAAAGGATGCTTTAGTGGAAAGAGGAATAGAAAGAGGATAGAAAGGTTGATTCACCTGGACTTGGAAACAGGTTTTATGACATTGCTTCTCCAGATAGTTGCTTTTGTTCAGTGTAAACGCAGTACCTGATAGTACCAACCTCAGGGAGAAAAGGAATTGATTCCATCCTGGTGGGAAGGCATGGCAGTGGTCATGAGTGGCTGAGACTTGCATTTGAACCAGGAAGCAGAGAGCAAAGCCAGAGCTGGAGGCCAGCCTCAACTTTCAATGTCTTCCCCCTAGTAATCTCATCTCCTGAAGGTTTCACAACCTCCAAAGGTGGCCCTGCCAGCTGTGGAGTAGCAGAACATAAGCCTGTACAGATACTTCATGCTCAAAGCTGGACAGTTGTCATTATCTCCTATAAAGAACTGTCCTTTAAAACTACTGTAGCCCAGGAAATATATATGTCTGATATGGCTTGCTGTGACAGTTGTAGTGTTCTTGAGAATTTCAAAACAAGGCACTTGGGCCTAAGTTTTGCCAGACACTAAGATCATATCAAGAAAGAAACAGGAAAGTTGCATGGTTTGGACTCACCAAAGAATCCTTCATTGTAGTTGCTTCCTGCTTTTAAACAAGACTCACTTGTAAACATGTCAATACCTAAACTCCTATTCTCAGAGTGTTTCCCAGGCTTGGTAAGATCCCGCTCAGGCTCATAGGGAAAGGTATACCAGCTCTGTGTCTATAGAAAGTCTTCCCAGTGATCCGTGGTGTCAGAACTATCCAGCAGGAGCAGTGCCTCAGTGTCCTAGTTGATTCAAGAGGAACATATTTCAAGATCAGTTTTGTAATTTCTGATTGTATTGCTTTGCAGAATATTTTGAGAAAACCCTGTCATTTTAGAGAAAGCTTTTTATTTTGATTATAATATTCTATTTGATACATACTTCTGTAATTTTTTTCTACAACATACATTAAATATCCATTAGAATCCATATATAAGAGAAATGGTGTTTCTGTAAGGCAATTTAATAACTCTGTTATTAGCTGTTAATATGACCCATCCAGCCCCTCAATAAATGAGACATAGTCATATTGACTTATTTAATCAGCTTTAGCACAATTACTAGGCAATTGCCCCCAAATCTATTTTTCTACACTAGTCTGGCTATTTCCCAAATGTGTTCAACCAGCTCTTGGGGGCCAGTATTTAGCATTTGAATGCAAACCAGCAGACCAGTCCCCTACAACATGGAGCTAGGTAACTTCTGTGGATCCATGGGAGCTCAAGGTAACACTTTAGAAAGCTAAGTAGTATAAAACTACTCAATTACGGTAAGAGCCACAAATTTAATTTTACACCCAATGGAAGTGTGTGGGGTCAACAAAAGACATGTACTCTGATATTCTTTTTTTATTATTAGATATTTTATTTATTTATATTTCAGATATTATTCCCTTTCCCCATTTCCTTCCCCTCCCCCCCATTAATCCCCTATCCTATCCCTCCTCCTCCTTTTTTGCTTTTATCCGTTTAAATTACATGCAAGTATTAAGGTCAGTTCTAGGTTGAAGAACTAGCAATACAATAGATGCAAATAGTCAAGGAACAAGCAAACAATAAACCCAGATAGTCAAGAACACCCAGGACAATAAACAGAGTTCTGTGATCACTATTTCTAAGGGCTTATAAGATGACCAAAATATCTGACCCTACTTTCTTTTCCTAGCCCAAAGTCATTTTCATGCCTGAAGCCAAGTTCTTTGTTCTAGCCTAGGATTTAGATTTCTGCCTGAAGTTACTTCTTTGTTCTAGCCTAATGTCAGATTCCTGCCTGCAGTCTATTTCCTTGTTCTTGACCTATGTCAGATCCTTCCAAGCAGCCCATTTCCTTGTCCTTGGCCAGTGTCAGATTCCTGCCAGGCAGCCCCAAAAGCTCTCCACATCTCCCTCTTTTTTATTTCCTAAAACAGAATGAGCCTGTCTTAGGTAGTTCTGACAAGAATGCCTTCCTTACCTATCATGGAATATGCATTGTCAAAGGCAATGCACTTCTGTCTTAGGTTGGTAAGGCTCTTTGCAGAATCTTGCCCATCCTTGGCTTGCCACTCTGTTAAATTAATAGCTCTGTCTGGGGGTCCATTTTCAGTTTCAAGTCATGTACTTTGGCTGCCAACTTGTTGATGTAGTTAGAGACAAGCTTTAACACGATGAGCAAGAATAAAAGTATTCCCAGGACAAAAGGTGCTAGCTTGATCAAGGAATATGCTATTCCTAAGGTTTGATCAAAATGGAAATACTTACCTCAAGCCATGGATAATATTATTGGAATTATATGCAGCATCAAAGCTCAACAGAGCAGTATTCTTTAAATTCATAATCTCACTATGTAAAGTTAAAACATCCAGAGAGGTGTTAGGATTATGCCAAATACCCTGCAAGTGTCTTTAAACTTTTTTCTAATTATAATGACTATCATTGTAAATTTTAGAACTAACACAACTCCAATGATATTTGTCATGACACTTCAGATGGCTCCTAACTCTTAAGCCCTGAACTTCCTTCCAATAATTTGAATAGGATATAGAGCATTAATCCGTTGTTCCAAACACCTATATAAATCCTCTTGTATACTCAAAACATTACTAACATTTTTTTGTTAGATGATTAACAAAAGTAGCTGTCTTAACTTCTTACGTCAAAGATATTGCAGAAGCAGTGGTGCTAGCAATTAATGAAATTAAAGCTGTTATACCTGCAATAATCAAGGCCACTACCCTCTTGCTTCTAAACTGAGTTGCTTCTAATTGAGTTGCTTAAAGCCTAACTCAATTCTCCCAGCACGTTCAAGCTTTTTTCAGAGAATCAGGGTTTTCTAATACTCAGGGCAGTAAGACAAAAGCTGGTTGATAGACCCCTATAACAGACATGTCAGGTTTCAACACACTAACACAATTAGAAAGTACACAGTCAATGCAACTAGCAATAAATACTGTAGAAGAGACAAAACCATTTTAGCTTGACAATTATAAGAGCCTTAACACACACTAACCCTTGCTTGAAATCCAGATCCTGTCCCAACTTGATCTCTTGCTATCATAACATCATGGAGAACTGCAGCTGACTTCCAAATATTTCTCTGAAAATGTCCAGAACCAGCCTTTTAAATGAAGACTGTTATTTCCAATATTGGATTGATTTCTCCACTAGTACATGATTGAGTCCAAATAACTGGTCAACTTTAAGAAAAGTACAAGAGTCATTTTAATTTCTCTTTTTGATTCTCTGTCCCACAAGGTCTAAAAACTTGAGGTAAGGCAGCTTGTCCCATCTGGGATATAGGCAAGCAAAGGTGGGTCAGGAACATATGTCCAATACAGTTTCCCAGTCACCATTTTCAGGGCACTCAGCAAGCTCACAGGTCAGTATCATTCTTTGTCTCAGCAGCAGCATGTCTCACCAATCATTCTGGCAGCCACCATGCTCCTTCAGCATCCTGCAGAAAAAAACATAAACATGCTCTCTTCTCCATATTAGATACCTGGTTGGGATCATGCCATATGCCAGTAAGTGGATCCTTTTTACCTAGGGATAAGTATGCCTAGTTGTAGGGTGCCATAGACACTCAGCAGAAAGCTTTTTGGCATGCAAATTAGCTTTAAACAG